GACCCACCCAGCGCGCGAGGCGGCAGCGAGGCGGCAACGTGGAAAATTCTCGCCGGACCCACCTCGTTACATTTTGCTCCCCGCGGACCGGAATGTTGGAGCACCCGCTCCGAGAGAGTTTTCCGGAGCATGCATTCTCACAGGGTCAGTGTCGATCCGATCGAGCCGATTCGATGTCCATGTATCAAGGGAGGAAACCAGCCCGGACCCCGATAATTGGCGTTTGCCGAACGGCCGTGGGCATTAATTAAACAGCCCTGCCCTGTAAACCGCTTCGCTTGTCGGGGTTCTTATTATGAGTGTGGAGTTTCTGCTCTCTAGTTTCGGCGGGCCCGATCCGATTCGACCTTGGTTCGGCGTCACCCCAACATACTTCTACTACATGTGCGTCGCCCCCCCAGGGGCCTCGCGCGCACCGAGAAATCTTATAGTACATGCGCCGTGGCGGGCTCTTTCTGGCCACACCGCTCGGGAACCGATACACTACAAGATGGGTGTACTACGTGTTCGGGTCTGGCGCGCGCCTCCGTATAGGACCGGCATGTCTCCGTGCGTCCCACTGGTGTTCCGACGGTCCGATGCGGCCCAATGCTTGCACGGCGCTGTTGTGCATCTAGGCGCGGTCGATCTCATCTGATGATGATCCTGTCCAGGCCTCCCAGATGGGGTCGGAGTAGACGTGGTCGGTGGATCGCGCTGCATCGCCGATGCATCGACGATGCGGCTCGATGCGGAGACCGTGTTTCCACACTCCGACGTCGACGCATCGCCGATGCATCGCCGATACATCGGGATGCATTGGCGATGCGCCGCGATCCTTCGACCCCATCTACTCGGACCCCATCTGGGATGCCTCTATCCTGAGCCGACGCGGCTCGCTCCGACGCACACTCGAGGTCCATCCGGTCTTTCGGTTCGACGCGGACGGATCCGGCCATCGGGGTCCTCCACACCCTCCCCCTGCCCTGCCACCCTCTCGCCCGTGGACCCTCGAGGCGGCTGTCTCCCGAGGCGCCCGCCCATGCTGGGCGCGACGTGAGGCGCGCTCTCTCAAAGCCTCGAGGCCCCTGCTTGCCCGCCTCGGAGCACCGACAACTCAGAGGAGGAGCGGGTACCCATGCCTCGAACCCTCGCCCGCTTTCCCCTTCTTGGGCCTTCCGGGAGGCCCTCGTCGCCACCGCCGGAATCGCCTCTCAATTCTGGTCAGAACGCACCCCGGGAGAGGTCCGGGGAGTGGCGGCATCGGTCCTTTGTTGGCTATCCCCCAAAATTGCACAAACATGAACGTTTGGCGCTCCACGCGGATGTCTTGGGATCGGCGCTGGGCCCCCCTGGCGGCGGCTCTGGCGCCGCCCCTGGCGCGCGGAGCACGCCAGGAAGGGGGTCCAGCGCGGATCCAGGAACCCCGCGCGGACCTCCAAAAGTTTATGCTTACCCAGCGTCTTGTTCCTCGACTGCCAGCTCCCCCTCCGACGCAGTTTTGGCTCTCGCCAGCCTGCCCCTCCCCCCCCTCGCGCCCCGAGCTCCGCTGCGTCGCCGGGTGCTGGCAGGGGGCGCGCCTAGTGGCGCTCGAGGAGCCCTCGCTCGAGGAGGCCTTTCTCCGCCTCCGCCTCCCTCCGCCTCCACGCGCTTGCCCTCGTCGCCATCGTGGTGCTCCTCTCCCCGCCTCCTCGCAGTCGGTCCGCTCCCCTCCCCCTCCCCGCGTGTTCCCTCCATCGGCTCGCACTGACGCCACGCCCCGCCCTGCTCCCGTTGCTCCGTCTCATCCCTCTCCCCCTGCTCCTCCTCGGCCTCCTCTTGACTCCTGCTCCTGCTGCTGCTGGTCCTCTCCCTGCTGCTGCTGCTGCTGCTGCTGCTGCTGCTGCTGCTGCTGCTGCTGCTGCTGCTGCTGCTGCTGCTGCTGCTGCTGCTCCGCCTCTTCCTCTCCCCTCCCCTCTCACTCGTCCCCCCTCTAAATTTCTACCCCCCTCTCTTCTCCTTCCTCTGTCCTCTTCTCTGGGGCGCCGCTTCCAGCACCCGCCCGCTGCTTCTGGCACGATGGCCGTTATCCTCGGCATGGGCAACCCGCTGCTCGGAGCGAGGGCTTGGGGCCGAGGGATGGGAGAATGAGGAGGCGGAGGCGGAGGAGGCGGAGGAGGAGGAGGAGCAGGACTACAGAGCTTGTTTTACGCAGCAGTTCTTCCCGTGTTCGGCCTCTTGGGGCCCTCACCGGGCCCCAGGGCCGGCAACGAAGACCACTCAGGGTGAGAAGTGGCCTCGGGCAAGGGTCGAGACTGCCGGGGGCCCCGTAGTGCACAGATCAAGGAGAGGAGGAGGGCAGGGGGAGAGGAGGAGGCAGAGGGGGAGCAGAGGGATAGGGGGCAGGCATGGGAAGGAGTCAAGCAGTGGCGAAGCGTCCTGGCTCGCCTACAGCCCTACCAAACAATGTTCTAAGAACCTTCTGTGGTTTCCACGACATATTCTTAGAACATTCCTGGCGGAGTCTGTCTTGTTTGAGCACATCGGGTTTATGTTCTAAGAACATTGTTATTGTTCTTAGAACAGTTTTTGGTTCTAGGAACATTTCGTGGTATGACTATACGAATGCCGGGACGGTCGGTCCCTGCTCAAAGGAGGCCGAGGGTGTGGACAAGCCAGGGGTAACGTTAGGCGAGGGCGGAGGATCAGGGGGGGATGCATGGAATCTCAGTCGCCCATGTACCCCCGATAATTAGGGGGTTTGATGGCCCGCCCCGCCCGTGAGCGTGCGGAGGCGCTATAGGGGGGGCACATCGCCCACCTGTCGGTGATGTACCGCCGACTCGAGGTCGATGTGCTCCCCTCCCCGGAGCCAGTCCTCCCCGTCGTTGGCCCCCGATCAGGGGAGGGGGGAGAAGGAGGAGATGGAGCAGCAGCTGGAAGAGTCGGATGAGGGAGGGACAGGATCGGGGGCCTGCACGATGACGAGGAGGAGGGGCAGGAGGACGCTGCTGCCGTCTGGCCTCGCGCGCAGCACACACGGCCCCCTTCTGCGGTGCCTCCTCTGCTTGGCATCGCTCGGACGTGCGTGTTCTCTCGGCCGGCGAGGCCAGCGCCTGAAAACCTGGACCGTCTTGGGCCAGCCTGAGAAGCACACGCGCACGACGGTGGTAGTGTTTTTTTATCAAGTGTTTTGCCAATCGGCGCGGGCCCTGACACCCCCCCTCCCCCCCTCCTTGGAGTAGATCCTCGCTGTTTTTGGCGCCCGTTTCAGGCAGATGGAGCCTCCCCCACAGGATGCACTGCTGCAAACGGCGGCATGAAGGAGAGGTCCAGAGCGAGACCGCTCCCCCCCCCCTTCCACCCACGGTCGAAACTCAGAGTAAGAAAAAGCTTACGAGACCAGACAGTGCACGGCGGGGAGTGGTCGTCCAGGCTGTGGCAAGTCTGACATCGGGTACAGTAGGCTCGTGTTAAGTCGGGCGTGTCCCTCTACAGGCGGAGTATTCAAAAATAGTCAAACAACTGTACCGGTACGCGATTATTTTTTTTTATTTCTGACACTTCGTGAGTATGGATTGGCCATTTCTCATTTTTCCTTCGAAGTCCGCGTGTAGGGTTATGATGTTCTAACCTGCTTTAGCCTTGACCGCCAATCAGCATGTCGAGCACCAGGAAAGTATCGAAACTGGAAGATTTTCACGTGTCGGGCCTTGGGAGGCGATACTCGTTAGACACTGGTTCGAAACTCTTCTGGGTGCCCGAAATTATTTCTGGGATGTGGTCCTTTAGTACAATCGGACAATTCTTGAAGCTCTCGAAATTGGTATACAGCTCGTTGCTGTGCATGTGCTTGCACGTCATTGCCGTCAAAGCAGTGGTATCTATTACATTGTGTCTCGTGCGCTTCCATGAGGTTGCACCAGGACTCGTGCATTGTCTCATGTTCAGTAGACCCTTGTGGTAAAGGGCGTGGCCAGAGAACGGGTGGCCTCGAACAGCCAGTCGGCACCGTCAAATGCCACGGCTTCCTCTGGATTTTTCTGGAAACCTTGAGGCACGGGAGTGTGACGTCCTGATCTCATCATGACAGGGCGGTGCGGTTTTACGGCAAGTTCGGCCGTGACCGTGGCCGGAATCCCATTCTCCACCCCAAGCTCCCGGAGACTTACGATGTAATTGTCTCTGGCAAGGGTTTTTGTTTGAGCAGCCTCTTCAGCGTCATGTTACTCTCTCCAGCATGCGGGTGCCCGAGAAGATTTCTGGAACCATGTGAAGGTCGCACGCCAAGATCTCAGGCCACTTTGACAGCCACGAGCGCTGCGAAGCCCATGACGTTGAGGTGGTCGGTAGGCCCTTCAGGCACCCAGAGGTACCTAGGGCCGACCACGATGCCGTGCCGTTCAGGCATGTTAGCATAGCCCACGCAGAGTATCCCAGGTGATAATTTTGTCCAGGCATCCCATTGCTTGAGCTGTTGGAGAGTACGTGATCCCATGCGGCCAGGTCCCGCTGCCATCACTCCTGGCCTCTTCCCGTCTGTCGTTCGTGCAATGGGTACTTGTGGCGTTCCATCCACTCTTGCACAACCTGGCCAACGACAACTATACCTGCGTTGCCTCCGGCTGCGGCTTCTGACAAGAGACGACGGGCGCATCGACCTGATACCTCAGCTGGTTCAGAGCCTTCTCGAACATGTGGGCAGTGTTGGCGTTGCTGGTGACGAACGGCTGCCTGCTGGTTCTGGTACTGGTACGTGGCCTGACTTGGCCCAGATTCGTCCACCCAGGAAGGAGCACGGTAGGCTGGCCTTCCGCATTGCAACATGGACACCAGGAGCCATATCGGCCAGGATGGTGTGCAGCATCACTAGGCCCGTGCTTCTGGATCTCTCGCTAGCTGAGTCCTGCTTGCTTGAGCGCCGCCTCTGCAATCTCTTGAGGTTTCGCTTGACGTCCTAGGACTGGGTGTCGTCGACGGCTCCTGCCCCACGCTTACGTGCAGTTCCCGCTGAGGCCGCACTGTCTGTGCCGGTCGCGTCCATGGCCTCGGTCTTGGCCTGCGCATCTGCCTTCTTCTTCTTCTTCTGCTTCTTCTTCCCGGCCAGCTGGATAAAGGCCTCCATCAGCTTGGCCGTCTCCACGCAGCCTGCCTCCATCGCCTCGCAGTCGTCGAGGGGCGCCTTGGCGAGCAAGAGCCGGGCGCAGACCGTGCCCCAGCCCTTGCCCGTGGGGGGGGGGGCGTGCAGGCTTCTGCTCCCCTTCACGGAGACGCTCCACCTGCTTTGGACTCGCCAGCTTCAGAATCTCCACTGCGCTAACATCGCAGAGCGTATTCCGCTCGGAAAACGACTGGGTGGGCCCGGGGTGTCCTGGAGAGTTTCGTCCCGGATTCCGAGGTGAATTCCGTGAGGATTTCTGTTTGGCTCGGAATGAAGACCAAACATTCATGCGAAATTCACTTCGTTTTTGGGTCGCCGCTTCGGGCAAACATCCGCGCAGAAAGCCGCTGCAGCACGTCTGCAAGGCCGGTGCAATGAAGAATTTGTTTGAGCTCTTTCTGTTGTTTCCTTGGGCTATGCCGCGCTGCTGCCAACATTGTCGTTTCTCGTTTTGTTTCTTGAAGTCTGCGGAGTGCAGCCACCTCCGCGCAGCAGTTGGGAAGCAGCGCTTCCTTCTGTGCCAGTCGCACGTCGATCTGTCCCTGCAGCTATGACGTGGCCTTCGACGCGAATTCCATGCCTGTTCCCTGCTTGAGCTTCTCGAGATGTTTGAGTTTTGTAGATCTCCAGATTCTTCGCAATGCCTGGCACGGCCTCGGAAAGTGGGTTTCGCCGTCAGATTCGTGGTGTTGTTCGTGCTTCTTGCCGCTGATGTGCCCAGTCTTCTTGGGAGGCGACCCGGGTGCCTTGCACCAGTAGCATATTGTCGTCTGTATCCCGCCATCATCTTCACCGCATGCTGTACAAGATCAGGCATCAGGCCTCATTCTTGGGAGGCATGGGGCTCAGGGCGGCCGTGCAACTGCGAAGTTCGCCGCACCCTGCAATTCGAGGAGACTCAGGCACCGGAGATTCGCTCGAGTCGGGGAATTGCTGTGGACTGAGGAGGAGATGGACGAGGAGGAGGACGAGGCAGAGGAGGAGGAGGAGGAGGAGGTGGATGAGGGGGGGGGAAGAGGAGGAGGAGCAGGAGGGGGAGGAGGAGGAGGACAAGGACGAGGAGGAGGAGAAGGACAAGGACGAGGAGGAGGAGAAGGAAGAGGAGATTCGGATGGCAGCGTCCAGGAGACACTCGTGCCGTCGGATGCTCGCAGGAGATCCTGCCCCGCCCCATCGGCCCCTCCTTCTCGCCCGTCTCTCGCCCTGCCGGGGCAGCGGGCGGGCGGGCCAGACATCTCCGCCAACGCCGACAAGGCGATGTTCGAGAAGTACGGCCTGGAGCCCGGCGGCATCATCCTGGCCGAGGTGGGGCGGGCCTCTGAGGGACAGCGGCGGTGACGAGAGGACGGCGACGGGCCTGTTCGACCCTCTCGTCGTACTCCTCGTCGCCAGGGGGGGGAACGGGTCCCAAGGAAAACGGGTCCTGAGGTTCTTCGCCATGCTCAGGCTCTCTCGGGGCCCTCCACGGGCCCGGGGACTGTCAAAGGACGGCTGAGGATGCAGAAGTGGTTTTGGGGCAACGCACCGGGGGTCCAGGACCCGCAGGACCCGTTTCCCGTACGATGATCTTCGGCGGTGGGCCGCGGCGCGGGAGAGCCGCCCTTGCTCTTTTTTGAAGTCGGGCATGTCCCTCCTATACAGGAGGAACAGTCCAGCATGGTAGAAATTGGCCTGGCGAAGGACCCAACCGTATGCAGCTGCGAAAAGGTAGGATGTAACCTTCTCATCGTAGGCAGCGCGCCGAGAGAGGGATGGAGCACGGGGCAACGCAGATGGGAACCCTGAAACGTGCGCGGGGTGTGCCGAAGTGGGCTGGGGGACGCATGCGGGCGCTGCCACTGGGGCCTTCGGTGGAGCTCTAAATTGGGCCGTGAGGCGTGTGAGGGGTGTGCCGAAATGGAGGCGACGCCGCCATGCGAACCCTGCCGCTGAGGCCTGCAGTGGAGCTCCCTATGGAGCCGCGAAGCGTGCGGTGTGTGTGTGTGTGTGTGTGTGTGTGTGTGTGTGTGTGTGTGTGTGTGTCTGTGTTGAAATGAGGCGGGGCAGCTATGCGAACCCTGCCACTCGGACCTTCGGTGGAGCTCCCTATGGGGCCACGATCCTCGTGAGGGGTGCGCCGAAATGGGGCGGCGAACCCTGCCACTGGCGCCTTCGGTGGAGCTCCTTGTGGGGCCACGAAACGTGTGAGGGGTGTGCCGAAATGGGGCGGGGCCGCCATGCGAACCCTGCCACTGGCGCCTTCGGTGGAACTCCTCATGTGGCCACGATCCTCGTCAGGGGTGCGCCGAAACGGGGCGAACCCTGCCACTGGGGCCTTCAGTGGAGCTCCCTATGGGGCCACGAAACGTGTGAGGGGTGCGGTGAAACATAGACATGCGAAGAGCATAGGCGAGGAGGGGGGGAGGGAGGAGGGGGAGGGAGGAGGGGAAGGAGGAGAGGAAAGGAGAAGAACGCGGGGCGCTGTTTCTTCAAAACGAGGACCCAACACCACAGGATGGTTGGGGCATAGTATTGGTACGATGTCTCTATTATGTTTAGATTGTGTCTGGGGTTCGTTTGAATATCTTCTATCCATCATTCGTCCAAAACCCGTCTGTAGGATGACATGCCCGACCTAATTCTATTTGGCTCAATTGGCCCTCCTCCGTGTTGGAGAGGAAGTGGACGACGAGGAGGGGACCCCGACGACGGTGCGCCCTCATTGCCAGTGTAGCGTGCCACGTTGGCGGTCCGCGTAAGCCGCCGCGGAAGGTGGCTTTGCCATCTCTCGTACGGCCCGCTTCATTTCGTGGCCCACATCGGCCTTGACAGAACGCGTTACGCGAGCGTTCGTGACATGAATCCGTGGCTGCGTGCGTACGTTCATCTTGGGTTCCCAATGAGATCAATATGTTGTACTTCCGGACGTAACTCGTGTTACTCTCCCCCCCACGTGACGGTGACGCGGGGAAACTGGCTACAGGCGTGCACGCGTGCAGTTTCCCATAGAGGAGGTGGAGGAGGATGAGCAGCAGCAGCAGCAGCAGGAGCAGCAGCAGCAGGAGGCGGATGATGATGATGATGATGATGATGATGATGATGATGATGATGATGATGATGATGATGATGATGCTGATGCTGATGCTGATGCTGATGCTGATGCTGATGCTGATGCTGCTGATGATGATGATGATGATGCTGATGATGCTGATGATGATGATGATGATGATGATGATGATGATGATGATGATGATGATGATGATGATGATGATGAGTAGGAGGAGGAGGATGAGGAGGATGGAGGAGGAGCTGTGTTGGAGGTGAGGAGGGGGAGGAAGAGGAGGAGGAGGAGGAGGAAGAGATGGAGGAGGAGGGGCACGAGGAGGAGGACGGAGGAGGAGGTGGAGGAGGAGGAGGAGGAGGAACTGGAGGCTGTGACGGAGGGGAAGGAGGAGGAGGACGAAGACGACGACAACGACCGACGTGGCCCGGAGGCCCCGAGAGGTGCACGCAGACACGGGGCCCTCGTAGGACAGGTGGTGTACAGAAACGTTGTGGTGCACGCAGGCATCATGGTGCACACAGGGCAAGGTCACACAGATAATGTGGTGCACGCAGGCACGGTGGGGTACACAAGCGCTGCGTGCACTTTGTTGCTTCTCGTACGCGGGCATTGCGGTGCACGCAAGCGCAAGTGTGTACGCAGACGCCGTCGTGTACACAAGCACTGTACTGCATACGGTGCGTCAACTACAAGTACTGTTATTGCTGCTGCTACTACTACTACTACTACTACTACTACTACTACTACTACTACTACTACGACTACGACTACGACTACTACTACTAGTACTAGTACTACTACTACTACTACTACTACTACTACTACTACTACTACTACTACTACTACGACTACTACTACTACTACTACTACTACGACTACTACTACTACTACTACTACTACTACTACTACTACTACTACTACTACTACTACTACTACTACTACTACTACTACTACTACTACTACTACTACTACTACTACTACTACTACTACGACTACTCCCACTACTACTTCTTCTACTACTACTTCTTCTACTACTATTGGTACTGGTAGTACGAATAGTACTACTACTACGACTACTATTACTACTACTACTACTACTACTACTACTACTACTACTACTACTACTACTACTACTACTACGACTACCACTTCTACTACCACGACGATTACTACTTCTGCTTCAACTAACAGTACTGCTACTACTTTTTGTACTTCAACTATTGCTACTACTACTTCTACTGCTACTGCTACTACTACTACTATTGCTACGGCGACGACTACTACTACGACCGCTACTACGACTACTACTACTACTGCTACTGCTACTGTTACTACTACTACTACTACTACTACTACTGCTACTACTACTACTTCTATTACTACTACTCCGACTACTACTACGACTACTACTACCACTATGACTCCTGCGATTCATATTTTTATTACTAGTACGACTACTATCACTAGTACGTCGACTACTACGACTATTGCGACGACGACTTCTACGACTCCTATTCCTATGCGTAGGACTACAAGTACAACTACTACCACTACTTGCCGACTACTACTACTACTACTACTACTACTACTACTACTACTACTACTACTACTACTGCTACTACTACTACTACGACTGCTTCTGGTACTACTTCTACTACTATTAGAACTATTGCGACTACTACTATTACTACTACTACTACTGTTGCTGCTGCTGCTAGTACGACTACTAGTGTTACTCGTGTTTTTTTTCTACGACTACTACTACTACTACTACTACTGCTACTACTACTACTACTACTACTACTACTACTACTACTACTACTACTACTACCACGAACTACTACTACTACTACTACTACTACTACTACTACTACTACTACTACTACTACGCTACTACTACTACTACTACTACTACTACGACTACTACTACTACTACTACTACTACTACTACTACGACTACTACTACTACTACTACTACTACTACTACTACTCTTACTACTAAGTACGACGACTACTACGACTACTGCTGCTACGACTACTACTACGGCTAGTACTACTACTGCTACTACTACTACTACTACTACTACTCCTGCTACTACGACGGCTACTACTACTACTACTACTACTACTACTACTACTACTACTACTACTACTACTACTACGACTACGACTACGACTACTACTACTACTACTACTACTACTACTACTACTACTACTACTACTACTACTACTACTACTACTACTACTACTACTACTACTACTACTACTACTACTACTACTACTACTACTACTACTACTACTACTACTACTACTACTACTACTACTACTACTACTACTACTACTACTACTACGACTACTACTACTACTACTACTACTGCTACTACTACTACTACTACTACTACTACTACTACTACTACTACTACTACTACTACTACTACTACTACTACTACTATATCACTAACACAAGCACGGCTTCTAATTCTAGTCGTCTGGTGGTACTACTCGTATTACTCGCACGACTAGTATGTCCACTATTATCAGCACTACTAGAGTTACTAGTGCTACTCGTACCTCGTACTACTTCTACTACTCGTGCTACTCGTACTACTCGTACTCGTGCTAGTACTAGTGTTCGTATTGGTACTCGCACTGGCCGCGGCGGCCGCCGTTACCGTCACCTCCCCCTTCCCCCCCACGTAACCCGTGTTACCCCCTGGTAAAAAAATAAACAGTCTCAGTGGAGGACAGGGGGAAGACGACGACGGTGACGGTGATCAGCTCCTCGGCGACAAGCATTGTCGTTGCCGTCGTCGCACTTGGCGTTGGTCGAGGCAGCAAGAGGATGTGCGATGGGACGGGTTGGAAGGTGGGGGATGGTCACCATGAAGGATAGAGATCCCGAGGGAAGGAAAGAAGGAAACACCAGCTGGAGGCCACAGCGTCCTATTCTGGACTGCATCAGGCTACGTGGCCATGCTGTCGCCGTCTCTGCTTGTGCGCGGCGTGAATCTCGCGGATCCGTCCTCGAAACGAGGGCGCCCTCGCCGAATGCTCGGATCCAATCAAGCGAACGACTTGCCAGGATGCACCGACCTGGGTGGAGAAGCGGCATCCAGGAAAGGTGGTGTGGGTCCTGATGGTTTTCCCGGTCTTCGGACTCCCCGCCCTGCCCCCCAGGGTGGACGGCCAGACCAGGGGAAGCCTCTGCGTCGAGGACCCGCGTCCCTCAAGACCCGTGTTCTTGCGTTGGAAAAAGGATCGGGGGCGGCCAAGAGGGGGGTGATGACGGGGGGGGGATATCATGGCGTGGGCCATGATATTTCACCAGAGTTCATGGCGCCTCTTCTTTTTTTTTACGTCCCTGGCCCCCCCCCTGGGCCGCGCACGTGCCGCTGGCCATGATTTGCACCCCCCCTCTTGGACGTCCCCCTCTTGGCCGCCCCCGAAAGGAGGAGATGGTGGTGGAGAGGTGGGCGGGGAGACGGACGAGGAGGGGGATCGCGTGGTTGTGTGTCGGGCGCGACGCGGACTTGAGCAACGAGGTCTCGCGACACGTCTTTGTCCCTCTGCTGGTCATAACGGCAGCTCCCCTCTCTCTGTTTCGTCTTGTGCATTTGCAACCATTGTTCCTCCTATTTCTCCTCTTCCTCGTCCAAACAACCTTGCATGGCGTGGAGGAGGTCGGCGAACGGTGATGGCACTTGCTTTATCATTGTGATTATTATCATTAGTTGGCAGAGGAAAAACCATACGTTACCTTTGTCTTTAATCTTTGCCATCGCCGTCACACCCACAGTCATAATCATGTTTCGCGGACGGGTTGCGAATCCTGGTCGCGCTGACTTCATAGATTAGCATTGGCCGCACGCGCCTCAATGTTAGCATGGCTTGCACCGTCGATAGCCATGTTGACTGGCCCACCCGCTGTCGCCGTGAATTTGTGCACTTTGGGATGGTGCGCTCACCACACGCAACATCGTCCAACGCTGAAGGACGTATGCGTCCCGCGCTCGGAGCAGGGCCTGGCAGGCGCACGGGTTGCATTCTCATCCCCTCGCTAAAGGCAGGCGGTGGAGGCGCACATATGTGTCTATACATATATATTTACACACATCTATATCTCTAACTACATACATCTATAAATATACATACATATACATATATATATATATATGTTTATATTCGGGTACTGCATGGGGTTCCACACATGTCCACGGCCGCCGCTGCCGAGGCCCCCGAGTACCGATCTCCCAGGAGGTGGCCATGGATCAGTCTGTGAGGGGAATCCTGGAGGCCTCTCGCAGCCCGCAGTAGCTGTCTAGCCCGCACGACTACCCCGTCAGATATGGGAGGACGTTCACGCGACCCTGTTCCGACGGAAGTCCAGCGTACATCCGACGTGGACCAGACGTAAAGCCGACGTACGTCCGACGTGGACCCGACGCATATCCGACGCGGGCTCGACGCAAGTGCTCTCTCAAGTTGCCGCAGTATTTCCTGACGAATCCAAACATATATGGCAGGCATGCCGAGGTCGGGCGGGGCTAGGACAGGGACAAAAACTGCCCCGAGCGTTCCGAAACACCCAGATCGTTCCAGAACGTTCAGAGCGTTCCGGAACGCCCGAGGTACAGTTTCCAGAACCGTCCGACTTCAGAGATCTCCGATTCACCCCGTCCGAGTTGTCGGCGGCAAGCGATGGAGGGGAAGTGAGAAGGGGCTGGCCTCAGAAGGTTTGGGAATCCCCTGGCCTTCTGAGAAGTTTTCCAAGCCTTCCCCGAAGACACAGAAAAACTTCCCAGAAGGCGCGAGGGCATCTGAGAAGTCCCGCCGCCTTCTGAGAAGGCCTTCTTCTTCTCACTTCCGCCCCTCGCTCGCCGCCCAACTCGGGGCCTGCCCCGGCTTCGTCTTGCCTTGCGAGGTCCCCGAAGACCGATCTCCTGGGCGGTGGTCGTAAGTCGGGCACGTCCCTCGACAGGAAGAATATGCAAAAATAGTACAACAACAATCAGGGGGCGACTTTGTAAGTACCCGTTTGGCTATGTGGGAGCATTTTGGGACTGTTTTTCTTTTTTCCTCCAACATCCGCCCGTAGGGTGACATGCCCGGCCTCAGGCTTCGTCTTGCCTGGCGAGGTCCCCGAAGACCGATCTCCCGGGCGGTGGTCCTGGATCAGCCGCCGCTTTGGAGTCCCGAAACGGTGCGGTGACAGACCGTGCGGTGACCTCGAAATCCCCCAAGACCTCACCGCACGGTCCGTCACCGCACGGTCTTGGGACCCCGGAGGCCCCCGTCGCCCGAGACGTCCTCGGAGAACGACCCGAGCCCCAAGACCCTGCGGTGACCCCGAAGCCCCACGGGCTCACCGCACGGTGAGGTCACCGCCCCGTGGGGGGGCCCCCGGGCAGGGGGAGGCTGCGGGGCGGAGGCGGAGGCCCGGCTCGGGGGCCGCAGCCCGACGCGGACCCGCCGCGCCACGGGGGCCCCGGCCTGCCGCGCGAGGCCTCGGGGGCTCCTCGCGAGCCGGTGGTCCTGCGCCTGATTTCCACCACCACCAGAAGTTGGAGTGTGGAAGGAGGTGGAAGAGGAGGAGGAGGAGGAGGAGGAGGAGGAGGAGGACTCCCTCCCCCTCCTACTCATGGCGTCGGCGGTGAAAAACAAGCCCACCAAGTGGCCGCCGCGGGTCAGCCCGCGGGGCGGAGGCGGAGGCACGGCATCCCCCGGGGGCAGGAGAAGCACATGCCCGTGTACGCGGAGCTGCAGGCCGGCCTGGGCGCGGCCGCCCGCGACCTCCGCGTGGCTGGGCCGCGGCACCGAAGAGGAGACCAGGTCAAATGGCAGAGGAGGAGAAGGTACAGAGGAGGCCCATGCCAAGAAACACCCTGCTTGCCTCCAGGGTGCCCTGGGATTCGATGGTTCCGATTGTTTTGCAACGGAAAGCGTTACGTTCCAGCACCAAAAATCAATGGGCGTCCTGGGATCTCAGGGTTGGGTTCCTTGTGGAAGGTTTCTTGTGGACTGGCCTCCACT